ACTCAATACCAAATCCATGCACTTCTTCTTTTGTACTATTGGCTCGGACGAATATATAGTATTTTCATGCTCTAATGCTAAGGAGATTGAGATAAGTGGGGTGACCTATGAAGGAACAAGCCAAGTGAAAAAGTCCAAGATTGGTATTCACACTCTCAACAAAGAGAACTTCAAGATGAAGCCCAATTAAGAAATAAAGATAATGTTCAGGTCAGTTTACTTCTATCATAAATGAGCTTAAAGGCTTTGGGAAAGCTTATCTCAATGAAGAAGTAAAAGAAATGATCTCTTCGTTGTCATGTCTTGGGAAGGAAAGGTTATCACCATCGAAGAAGCTAATGATTTGGAGTTCCCTCTTAACGAGATCATTGGTTCTCTAGTCACCCATGAGATGAGACTCCAAAATAAAGAAATAAAAATAAGAGAAAAAGAAGAAAAATAATGAGGTAGGAATCAACTTCAAGTCCACCAATGAGTAATCAAAACTTAATTGAAGAGGTGGATGAAGACGAAGAGATGACCAAACTCTTCAAACAATTCACAAGATTCATGTCTTCTAAAGAAAAGAATTGAAGCATGAATTAAACAAGAAGAAAAATCCCTAGGTGCTTTGAATACCAAAGAACAAGACATGTCAAGTATGATTGTCCCCTCCTAAAAAAGAAGGGATCAGAAAGAAAAGACATTTATGGTTGCTTGAAAAGATGAATAAAACTTTAATAATGAAGAAGTAGCCAACCTATGTTTTATGGCCATCGAAGAATATTCAAGGTTAACTTCTAACTCTTTGATTTAAATTCTTATTTATTTAAAGAGTTACAATATGCCTATGATGAATTGTATTGGAATTTGTTAAGATTTATGAAGCTCGAATTAACCAAAATTGTGCCAAGAGGGGAATTGGCTTTTTGATAATTTTAGGGAGTAAGTAGATTTAAGGGATATAAATTATGCACAGGGATTTATATGGTTCCACTTTCTCAACCAAGTCTTCATTCACTACCTAAGCTCCTCACTTAGGATTTATAGAAAATCCACTAATTTGTCTTTCTTTTCAAGGATAAAGAGATAACCTTTACAAACTCCCTAGCTTTCAAAAGGTTTAGACAGAACCAAACTGTAACCCCCCTGATCCGTACCCGACTCGAAATACGAATCTGAGGTACACATTGACTTTTCCTCCTAGGCGTATCGTTAGGGACTACAATGTGCTTCATACAAATATCTCGTCTCAGCTCACAATCATTAGGGACATACACACGATTTTTGAAATAAACACCCATTCACTTAACCTCGAAATCTCTGAGTCCACCTTTCTCTACTTGCTCGAACCATTAAGCATTTATCATCTTTCTTCTGTAACTCCTTAATCCACTCTAACAACAATGGTTTCATCCTTAACTCATCCATAATCACCATTTTCTTTTAACACTATTCGAGGTCCAAACTACGCAAAGCAGTAAAAGTCTTCCGACTAAGAGCATCTGCTACTATGTGCTTTGCCGGATAATAGTCAATGATTGCATCATAATCTTTAACCAACTCCATCCATCTTCTTTGTCTCAAATTTAATTCTTTTTGCGTCAACTAATACTTCAAACTCTTGTCGGTGAATATAGCAACGCTCACCATACAAATGCATCCAAATTTCATGCAAAGACCACAGCTGCTAACTCCAAATCATGCATCGGGTAATTCTTTTCATGAGGCTTCAGCTGTCTCGAAGCATAAGCAATTACCTTCCTATCTTGCATTTAAAACACAAAACCAAACCATAATGGGAAGCGTTGCTAAATTATGAAATCCTTGTTTGGTTCTGGTTACACCAACACCGGAGCTTCAGTCAGAACTTTTTCAATGTTTCAAAGCTCTTCTGGCAATCAGGATTCCATTCAAAATGTCATCATTTCTTAACAATTTGGTTAAAGGCAGAGATATCATCGAAATGTTTTTAACAAACTTCGATAATAACTGCTAAACCTAAGAAACTTCGAACTTCTGACACATTCTTCTCGGAATCTCCCATTCTAGCACAGCTTTAACTTTTGAGAATCCACCCGAATCCCCTTAGCATAAACTACATATCCAAGAAATGTCACTTCCGACAGCCAAACTCACATTTTGAGAACTTTGCAAAATTTTCTTTCCCGCCACATTTGAAGAACTATATGAAGATGGATCATGCTCCTCTTTCGTCTTAGAATACACTAAGATGTCATCAATAAACAACCACGAACTGATCAAGGTACAATTGGAAAAATCTATTCATCATATCCATAAAGCAGTGCATTAGTTAACCTGAATGGCATTACAACAAACTCATAATGACCATATTGAGTCCTAAACGCCGTTTTTGGAACATCTTTTTCTTGAATTTTCAGCTGATGATACCCAGAGCGTAAATCTATCTTTTTAAAACACGACCACTCCCTTGCGTTGATCAAATAAATCGTCTATCCTTGGAAGAGGATACTTGTTCTTTATGGTCACCCTTGTTAAGCTGACGATAATCTATACAAAGGCGTATGAAACCATCTTTCTTCTTTATGAATAACAATGGAGCACCTCAGGGAGACACACTAGGTCTAATAAACCCTTTATCTAAAACTCCTGCAACTGAGCTTTTAAACTCTTTCAACTCATTCAGAGCCATCCTATAAGGGGCCATTGAAATGGGTGCTGCTCCAGACATCACTTCAATCTGAAACCCAACCTCCCTGTCTGGAGGTAACCCTGGCAAATCATCCGGAAATACGTCTAGAAATTCTCTGACTGTCGGAATTCTTCAAGCTTACTTTATTTAACTCTTGTATCGATTACATTAGCAATGTATGCTTGACTCATTGTAGCATAACTTCTAAGTTGACATCACAGATATCACATTAGCTAAAGGATGGATTCGCTTACCACCCTAACTTCCAATCCCTCAATATTTGTTAACTGCACTCGCTTAAGTCGGTAATCTAAGTTGGCATAATAATGATAAAGTCAGTCCATCCCCAGAATAACCTCAAATTCATCAAAGGGTAATTCCATTAGATCAGCAGGAATTCAATTCCCTAAATCTTTATGGAACACCCTTTACATACTTGTCTCACCCGAGCACTATTTCCTAATGGATTCGCCACAATCATCTCACTACGAATAGGCTCTAATGGAAGGCTCAATTCTTTAACCAATTACTACTGACATAGGATAATTCGATCCCAAATCAATCAAAACTAAAATAGATTTACCAACTATCTGAAACGTATTGAAATAATTTATGGATCATCAAATCTTCACTAGTCTTCAGATTGTAAACCCGAGCGGTAGAAAGCACTTCAGGTTGAGCAGTAGACTCGGATTGATTTCTTCCTCTTCCTTGACCTCTTCCTCTCATTGGTGCAACTATGGATCTATTTGGGTAGGCTCTCTGTCATCATTGGGCAATCTCGAATAAAATGCCCTAAATCTCCATATTTAAAACAAGCTCTAGAGACCCGTTGCACACTCCACTATGGTTCTTTCCACATACTGACATTGTTTTAGCTTGTCATTCCGGATTCCACCGAATATGCTTGTCTTGCTCTTCCCTGATTTGATCCTCTACCTGAGGATGCTACGGATTTTGCTCTAGTCTGAGGTCAAGAACTCGAATCTATACTCTTCTTTGATTGTGAAGCAATTGGATGACGCACTAGATCTCTTATTCCATTGCCCTTTGCTCCGCAAATCTCTCCTTTTGAGCTCATTCCAAAGCTTTAACTCGATTCACAACCTCTTGAAAGGAAAGAGATTAAGTACCAACAACATTGTTTCAATATGGGTCTTAAACCCTCCACAAACCAGTCACAGGAGGCTTTCTCTGTAGGAACTAACTTAGCAGCAAATCGGCTCAATTTGTTGAATTCGCACTCAAAATCATACACCGTGTGATTCCCTTTTTTAAACTCATAAATTACTTCATCTGTCAGATGACTGATCCCTATATATTTTTTTCTTAAACTCCTCCGAAAGAAGGTCAAATCACTTGATCCCTTGAAGCTCTTATAGTCACGTTCGACCACCAAATTCTAGATTGACCTTTCAGGATCACGTTCAACATCTGAAAGAAAGTCCCCTGATCTTGAACAGGCACTCCAGGATGTGCTTGCTCCTCACCCTGCCTGCTCGGGGCAGGTGAGTTACTACTCTCTTCCATCCTATCTCTACATCACCTCAGGATTCTTCAAAGTTTGACATCTATTAAGATCAATTACTAAATGTATTAGCGAGGATAGCATATTGATCCTCTATCAGATCAAAAAGACTTATTAATTGGCATGTACACTTTTAAGACCAAAACGACTTTATTTCAAACTTAAAACCACTTAAACGATGGCTCTAATACCATTAAATATAACACCCTTGACCAGTACCCGACCCGGATACGAATCTGAGGTGTCACATTGACTTTTCAAAACATATATAATTAACAATTAAGAATAATTTATATGTTATTATCATGATAAAGAGGTATAAACCTTAACTTATATAAGATAAACATATCATATTCATGTTTGCATAAACCTTGATGGTTTACAAAATACAATATATATAAGTTTACAAAAACGATCAGAGCATTTCAAATTAAACTTATAATACATGCCAAATGTTTACAAAAATGAACAAAAACCTATATTTAATTTGTTCTGATCTGATCTTCTGAAGTGTATGTTATCCTTGACCCAAATCAATCTTCAGTTTTCTTCAAACCTACGCGTGAGAAAACATACGCTAAGTCGATGACTTAGTGAGGCAAATAATGCTAACTTAGTAATTCAAAATTTTATTTGTTTTATTCAAAATATTTTACAAAGAGTTTTCATTATTTTTCGTATCAAAATATACTTATTAATAGTTTCACTTAGTATGTCTTTGTTCCAAATGCCCAAGTATACTATTGAGAACGCTAGGTATTTGAGTACTATGAGGTTGTGCACTAATGTTGTCACCACAGCTCGTAATTTGCACCGAAGTGCCATATATTGTCTCAAAGGACCATATAGGGTTTCACCAAATGCCACATATTTATCCCGAAAGACCATATAATTGTCTGAATGACCATATAGACCCTCGACTCTTGGCATGTCAAGTATACCTCTAATCCTCATACATATACTTTGGGCTATTAATCACATAATTAGGTTCAATCCATAGTCGAAGTGTTTCTTATTCATATAGTTTCTATCTCAGAGTATGTTCCCACTTCCATTTTCGAAGTTCACATTTCCATATTCATAAAATATAACTTGAATAATATAAATTGAATAAATAGAATAAAAAATTGAATATAATAATAAGAAATTATAAAGTTTTCGATCGAAAACACGAAGGTTGTCTTATCGCAAGCCTTCCTTAATTCTATTACAGGAAAGAGAAGTTTCACTCACCTTTGCCTCACTAAAGTCTAATCCAACTCCTTTCGAGTCAATACTCAAAATGTCAAACTGATTGGAAGTCAATTACGTTCAATCACTATACAAAACAATCTAAAATCAATCTTCTTAACTCAATTATATCGAATCATAATAACTTAGGATGCAAGAAACACTATATTTCATTTCATGGTTATAGGTATTGATACTACCCTAATGGTATCGATACTACCATTCAAGGGTATCGATACCTCCTCATGGTATCGATACCGAAATAACATTCGATGTTTCAAGGGTATCGATACCACCTCAAGGTACCGATACCAATCTGGCATTCGATGTTTTAAGGTATCGATATCATCCTTAAGGTATCGATCCTTAAGGTATCGATATTACCCTTACGATATTGATACTCTATCAACAGGTATCGATACAACCCTCTACAATTACTCATATTTAACCAATGAGTATCGATACATATTCATAAGGATACCGATACTCTAAGCCCCAGAATGGCCATTTTTCATCCCGAAAATACCTAAAAATCCTCCAACACTCTCCTAAACACATACTTTAAGTTTATAAACTCACCTTTATACTTCCAAACCAACTTGTACAAATTTACTACTCTCAAACATCCCAAATTATCGTTTGAACACTTAAATCTTCAAATCATACTAAAATTTCAACCATTTTATTAACCATTCTAACACTCCTAACCCTTTAATTGGCCTATTAACAAGTCAAATATCCAATTAAAAACTTCAAAACTACACTATATTAACAATTCATCTAAAACCCCATTTTACAAATCCATCTCTAAAACACTCATCTTGATGTTTTAATTCTATATAAGCTTTCCTTAAGATTATATAACATCCAAGCTTCCATTAGCCAACCAAAATTCGAAGAAACCAACATATTTGAAAAACTTACCTTTGGATGAGGGAGTGCACGACAAGAAGAAGAAAGAAAGAATTACAGATGCCTCCAAAGCCATGCTTATCTCCTAAATAAAGGAGATAAAAATCCTTTATTATCAAAAGACCATATTTCCCTCTCAATTATAACAAAATTGCTCTTCGCCTACATAAAAATTCCACCATAAATCATTAAACTTATCATTTATTTTAATTTAACCACTGAGTGTAAAAGTCTTACATTTTGGTCACTGACCCGATAATTGGTTTGTTACAAAAACCCCTTTACAAAAGGTAAAAATAAAGTAAACAAAGGAAACTCTAAAAGGTAGGTGTTTACAAAATTAAAGCTCACAAAAACCCAACTATTTATAAGAGAAAGAAAATAAAGAGTGAAAAATGTTTCTCTTGTGTTTGAATGCTTGGATAGATGTTCTAACCCTTCTTCAAGTGTCTTGATCTTGTATTTATATGTTGGAATAAGGTTGTGGTCGTTTCTAGCTGTTGGGGATGATTTTTAGTCGTTTGGGGATGTTTTCTCTGCAAAATAAAGCTGCCCAGTACAGGGAGTATCGATACTCCTTTTATGGGTATTAGTACTTCCTTTATTATTTTTAAAACTAGTTGTTACTAGTTGTTGGGCATGACGATATCGATACTATGACCATGGTATCGATACTACTATGTAAAGTAGTATATGTACCCTTATGGGTATTAATACCTATTTTTCATTTTGAATTTGAGCAAGGTGGTAGTATCGATACTACCTAGAGAGTATTGATACTTCTCTTACCTTTGGTATCGGTACCATATGAACAATATCAGTATTGATCATATAGTATCGATACTATAAGAATAGTATCGGTACTTCGTACGTGAAAAACTATTTTTGCTCAAATTCTAGTTTTATGGACTTTGAATTATTTTTGAAAACTTTTGAAACTTTGAACAAATTCAATTAAGTCCAAAAACATTTTTGCCTTAATTTGTTATATTATAAAACATGGTTCAAAATGCATAAGCATTTTTGGATAACTTTATGCATATGCACTTAATTTCAACAATTGGCAACAATTGGTATTGCATAAAGTATATTCGACTTGGATATATTGAATTTCATGTGCCACTAACATGTTTGTTCATCTTTTTTGAAATTAAATGTCTTTTAAGTGTCATGATCTTAAAGTCAAGTCTTTGTTTGGAATGCTTTTATTGAGGGGGAGCTTGATTTTTCAAATGATTTTTTGTCAATTTAACACTTACTGTCCATTGTTATTTTTGAACTTCAAATTTGAATTATTTTTTATTTAACAAAAAAAGGGAGAAATATGAGTTTAAAAAAAATCAATTTCAAGAATGAAAAAGGGGGAGCTTTAACATTTTCCAAAATATGTCTCTTTTTCATTAAATGTTTTATTAAGGAGGAGTTTTACCAAAAACAATTTTTTTAAATCTTTTGTTATATAAAAAGGGGGAGATTGTTGAACCACGTTTTATAATATTTTGATATAACAAATTAAGGAAAAATGTTTTTCAACTTAATTGAATTTGTTCAAAGTTTTCAAAATAATTCAACATCCATAAAATTAGAATTTGAGAAAAAACATATTTTCACGTACGAAGTGTCGATACTGTTCTTACAGTATCAATACTATATGAATAGTACCGATATTATTCATATGGTACCAATACCAAAGGTAAGAGAAGTATTGATACTCTCTAGGTAGTATCGATACTACTAGCTTGCTCAAATTCCAGAATGCAAAATAGGTATCATACCCAAAGGGGTACCGATACTACTTTACATAGTAGTATCGATACCATGGTCACAGTATCGATACTGTCAGACCCAACGGCTAGTAACGACTAGTTTTATTTAAAAATAATAAAGGAAGTACTGATACCCATAAAAGGAGTATCGATATTCCCTGTACTGGGCAGTTTTATTTTGCAGAGAAAACATCCTCAAAGGCTAAAAACAACCACAACCATATTACAACATATAAATACAAGATCAAGACACTTGAAGAAAGGTTAGAACACCTATCCAATCATTCAAACACAACAGAAACATTTTTCACTCTTTATTTTCTTTCTCTTGTAAATAGTTGTGTTTTGTGAGCTTTAATTTTGTAAACACCTACCTTTTAGAGGTTTCTTTGTTTACTTTCTTCTTACCTTTAGTAAAGGGGCTTTGGTTCTAGCTAAGCCTTTGGAAAGCTAGGGAGTTTGTAAAGGTTATCTCTTTATCCTTGAAAAAAAAAAGAACAAATTAGTGGTTTTGTTGGAAAATCTTATGTGAGGAGCTTAGGTAGTGGATGTAGACTTTGGTTGAGAAAGTCAAACCACTATAAATCCTTATGCATCATTTTTTCTATCTCTTTAAATCTCCTTACTCCCTAAAATTATCAAAAAGTCAATTCAACCCTCTTGGCACAATTTTCGGTTGATCTTCGAGCTTCGTAAATCCTAACAGAATTTGAGACCATTAATTCCAAATATAAGAAATTGATTTCTAAATTTAAAAATAAAAATGATTTCGTTTGAAAGCATAATTGAATTTTGAAATTCAAAACAAAATTTTGAAAAAAGAATTGAGCTTTCAAAAAAATTTGAAGATTTAGAAAAAGAAAAATTAAATTTAAAAGTTAAGCTTGAATGTTTAACAAAAGAAATTATTTTTCAAAACAATTCATCTATTTTAAAAATGGCAAAATGGTCACGCTGTCATTTTCATAGTCACAATGTACATCCTTGTCCTATAAAGAAAAGAAAATATTTTAAAATTAGACTAGTGTGAGTTCTAAAGGGAACTAGAGACAATGGTACTAACCCTCAAGGACCTAAGTAATTTGGATACCAAAATCGAATGAATGTCTCTTGTAGGTGTGTTGGAGCAATGATGATAAAGGTTAATATTTTCAAATGCTCTATCCACACAAGAAAAAAAAAGATGAGTAACCTCTAACCTTAAAGCTTTTTTTATTTTGTTTATTCATTGTCGATTTCGTTTTATGCATGCATGAGTATCGAGCATCAATGATTATATGTTATTCATTTTTAATGCATATTGAAATTGTGTTATGATGAACATGTTCTGAAGTTATTTTTTTAATGTTTTAGTTTATCATAATGATTTTGATCAAGTTGTGTTTTTTTTTTAAATAATTTTTTTCCTCACCTCAATTTGAATGTTTATGCATGTATTTTTCACCTAAGTGATATCTCTCTAGCAATTGATACCAATTTTTAAAATACTTAACATTTTGTAACGCTTTGTGCATTCGAGTTTTGATGACTTATTTCGGTATAAAGTATGATAACCTTAGATTTATTGAATTTCATTTGTTACTAAAGTATTTGTTCATCTTTGTTGAAATTCAATATTCTTTTAGTGTTAAAGTTTTTGTGTTAGAATTTTTTGGATTACATTTGTTGAGGGGGAGCTTTTAAATTTTTCAAATGATTTAATGTTGAAATTTCTACTTACTCTCCATTTTTATTTTTTAAATCTAAAAGTTTGGATTATTTTTATATAACAAAAAGAGAGAAATATTAGTTTGAAAAATTCAAATTCAAGAATGAAAAATGAGGATCTTTAAATATTTTTTCCAAAATATTTCTATTTTTCATGAAATGTTTTATTAAGGGGAGTTTTGCCAAAAACCATTTTTCAAATATTTTGTTATATC